TGCATTACTGAAATAATTGAACTTTTGCACGATATTCTAATTTTTAGAGTTTCACCTGTATGTATCTTTAGGGCTGCTGAATGCCTGAATTCCAAAATTATAATTTACTATTATCTTTTTTACTATTATGTTTTGATCTCTTTCAGGTAATATAGGAGGCAACAGAAAGAAAGTCAAAGGCAAAAGATTTAGGCCACGGTCTAATTCAACTGAGTAAGTTTGGCCTTTTAGTTGAAAAAGGAAAACAGAAAAGCTCTCAAGCTACATTTCCTTCCATTCCTTCTTTTAAATGTTTGACATAGACCCTTAATAGTTACTTATGTTTTGAATAAAAGTACCTGCTGGTAAATAAGGTGGCAAATTATCTGTTATCCATTTATGGGTTTCTTTATTACCCTATTGTCAAACCACAGCTACTCTTTTTCCACTTAAAGCATTTTGTAAGAAGTAGGAAATCATAGTTTTAGTTAAGGGAGAAGGTGTTCCCCCTACCATTTTCCTTTTGTTATTTGTCTCCTTATTTCCCTTATTTCTTGTCATCTCATCTTTTGGGGAAATAAACTTATTTTAGAAATAGAAAATCTGAGTGGAGAAAAATTATTTAGCAGCTCCTGGAGACCACAGAAATCAGCCTGTGGGATTCACGAGACACTATCAGGTAAAATAGGTATCAAATAGTGGGTTACAGGAATTCAATTTGTTATTTTGGGGTATTTTTCCTGCAAAAAGGAACAACAGATGGTCAATCAATTGTCATTAAGCATATTGATTACCCATTTAATCTTGTTCTATAATGCTGAATCCCTAGACACATTCACCTACTTTGCTTCATCATTCTGAATAATGGCAAACAGTATTTTAGCATTCTGCGACCAAAGTTGGTTCTTGATTGGTTTAGTGCTAATGACTATTCAGTACTGTTGTGTAATAGGAAAAAAAGTTAGTCAGGAATTGTAATTCAAAATTTCTCCATAATGTTTCCAAATAATTATTTGATAACATTATAGTGACTTTTTTTTGTAAATAAATAAAGTATATTGGGCAGGATAATCTATTAAAATCACATTGGGAACCATTTCATATTGCAAATTTCTTTTGTGGTGCTTCTTGAAAGGTTTTAAGAAATCTGCAAGCTGCTTATAGTTTGTTTCTGGAACCCTTCCTGTCTTGTCTGTCATTTTCTCCCATTAGTTATATAGTTTAATGCATTATTTAGAATAATACAAGACAACCATTTCAGTGAATGTTATTGATTGTGCAGAGAAGCTTTTATTGTAAAAATAACCCAAATGTTTCATCTCAAAGACACTAATAGGGGAGATAATGTTTCACTCTATAAGATTTTCTAAAATCACTTGTTTTGAGTTCCACTTATCAGAAGTGGACTGCAAAAACGTAGACAACCAACTGGAAACAACAAGGAGGTATTGAACATTCATTATAGTTTTTTACTGTCTGGATATTTGGAATCCAGATCTGGTAGCCCCAGTTTGGGTAAATCTAAGATGTAAATACCAGTACCAAACTAGGCAATTCATATATTGTGTGTGAGGATTCAATTGCACTACTTTAAATAATTTAATCTAGGTATAAATGACATTTGCCCTAAATAAGCCAATATCAAAGCTGTTGTCACTGGATTATAAGATACAATAAGTCACCCATACCTCTGAGAAATAAATTCCACAACCTCTGTCTATTCTTTGCAGATGGGTATGAATTGTTCCCCAATCCTATTGGCTATTTTGGTGGTTTATTTTAAGACAATGGTTCTTTGTTAAAGCAGTGGATGACTTTGAATATTATAATAAATCAAAGATTGGGAAGAACTTTTCCCTGTCTTAAACATTTTCTTTTTCTTCTAGATGTAAGAGTTTAATAGTTTTTATTTCTAGTTTCAACAAGCTATATAGTATTGCCATATTCAAGACAAACTCTTAAGAGTAATCACATTTTCTCCAGCTTAGGATACACAGCTGCTAATTGGACATGGATGAGAATGCTTCCAGATTTCTCTTCAGAATTATAGCAGTGGAGGAAACGGGCAGCATGAAAGCAGGGGAAGCAGCCCACCCTACATACAATAAAAATGCCTTACAATATGATTGACTGCAGTTAGTGAAAATGCCACCAGATCTCTCTTTAGCTTTTATGAAGTGGCTGTAGGAACAGAAATATATTGCCTTGATGATTGCAAAGGCCAGAGTTATAAAGCAACCATTTTTCTTGCATCAATACATCATTTCTTGGTGTATTAGTGAAATGGAAGATCATTTCTGACTGGGAAAAACAATTTCTGCAGTGGTTTTTCCTTTGTTGGTTAAATGTTGACCCTAGTGAAATGTATTTCATTCTAATGCCTGCAAAAATAAATGGATGGTCATATAGATTGTTCACCTACAAAAATCAGAACATTTATAATTGCATAAGAGCATGTGTTAAAGCATGTCCCAAGTATTCATACTGGCTGTCTGTTAATTTAAACTAACTTTACCATTAGATGTGCATCTTCCTCATTGTTATAAACTATATAGACTTTGGCTTAGATTTTCTTCTATTATATATTGTGTTTTTGCAGCAGGGTATCCCATGCTTCTGAGCCTGGGCTTTCCCACACCAATCAAATCCCACCCCAAGGCATAAGCCAGGGGGATTCTCACCACTCCCAAACAGGGAATCGGAATCACAGGTCAGTTTCAACTGCCTTTCTAGTTTGGCAGCCACTTTTACCCAAAGTTCCTTTTCCAAAATTTTACTGTGATGAAGAATTTTGATTGCTTGGAAGATCTTATGCTGATGGCAGTGCTAGCTAAGCCCTGTTCCTTGCTGGCCTGATGTATAATTTTCCCCCTCCTACACTATTGTAAAATCTAGGGTCCTTGCATTATTGCATGTTGTGCTCAAGCCAATTAAAACCATTAATTTAGTTTAAGGCATTTCACGCAAAGTTTTACCATCTGATCAGACAGGTTATTCTAGATCAGTGTTTCTCAACCTCAGCAAATTTAAGATGGGTCGGCCTTAACTCCTAGAATTCCTCAGCTTACATGGTGCCTGGGGAATTCTGGGAGTTGAAGTCCATGCATCTTAATGTTGCTGCGGTTGAGGAATATTGCTCTGTATCAATGATGACTGATGCACAATTACCCCAGAGATGAATTTTTAACCTGTTTTAATTCTGCAAACTGGCATGATATTAAATTATAAGTGCAGGTTGATCAATAGGATTAGAAAAGTTAAATGGTTATGTACGAACATGCCTCATAACTTTATTGTTTGAATAGCTGCATGTTTTTGTTGCCATGCTAACATTATCTTTTTGCATTACAAAATCCAGATAAGGAGTGCTTCGTGTTTATTAAATGAATCTTTCCAATAAAATGTTGAAGGTTTGGCATTTTTTTTGCATTTGTCCATCGGAGTGGCAAGAATTAGCACAGAGTGCCCTGCTGTGTTGCCTTTCCTTTCCTAGAAAATTACCCTGCGGTGATACTTCTAACTTGTACTTTTTAATTAGCAACTGAGCTGGAAAACATCAAGCACTTCTTTTTTTTTAAGCTATTGTTAATTAGATGCAGTCACGGCTGATAGAAAATTGATGCTATGTTTGTGCTTACGCAATGGGAGTGGGAAGGAATATTGCAGTTTGGACAGCTATTATCTTAATAACATTGGAGCGATGGATTTAACAAACTAAGCTAGTCTGGATTTGATTTATTTTAAGAATGCAAACTCTACTAAACTAAACTAAACTCAACAAAGGCGGTGGCAAGTTTATTTTTTATTATTTATTTATTAATTAAATTTTTATGCCTCCCGTCTCCCCAATAAGGTGACTTTTACCAAGGGTTTTAAAATATGGCCATCTAAAGGGATAGAAGAATGGTGATACTGATATGAATCTGGGTTGAGATAAGCACCTTGTCCCTGTTAATTTTAAATTTCAACTCACATGAGTTCCAGGTATCACTGTAAAAAGCAAGAAACCATGAAATTTCTAATCCAAGGTACTTAAATAACATTAAATTGCCTTTTTCTGTCCTAATTTTTATGAAATGCTCCTGTACAATTAGTTAATTGCACATTGAAAAAGCAGTTAGGTCCTAAGTGGATGTTTTAACTTTCTAACATGTTGCATATGATAGTGATCAGCAGCCTATTTTGTCTACATGCAATTTATGCACAAATTGCCTAGCTTTTTCACGCCTCTACAGCAGAGTTCATGCTTACCTCTTATGTAGGGGTAGCTTGTATACAACAGAAGACTATTCCAAATGAATAATCCTATTGATTTCAGAAGGATTCATTTGATAAATCAGTGAACATAGGATTGTAGTCTGTCTAAATTATTGTATTGTTATTTAGTATCTTTTTGGGATACTAAGATATATGCCCTTACTTAGTAGTCCAAAATATGGGCTCCATATTTATGATGTATTAATTAAATGTCTAGCAACAATTAGTACATATAGCAGTTTACCAGATGGAAATCACCTATTTTCTTAAACTTTTCCATAGATTTTTCTTCAGTGACATAGAAAAAATAAAATATTTGGAATGTCTAGTTATGTAGATTATTGTTCGAGAACAGCTGTCATATAATCCAGGAAAAATGATGCTTAAGGAGGAATTATAAGATTGGATCAGTCAAAGGATCCATATTTGGCAAATCAATAAGATTTCCTCTTGCTTCCTACAATAATTTTATTCCTAGAAATAATATAAGGAAAAAGACACACACACAAACGCATATGCACATGCATACACATACCCACACCCACACGTACTGTCAACAAAACAAGATCAAGGCTTCTTCCTGAATCTGATTTGTAAATATCCAGGTACTTATACTACTTTTCTATGACACCAAATTAATAATCATTTGTTATACTCATAGAGGTCAAATTTATGGCTTTGAAATAACATGATTAGCCTGTTTAGGAAAATGCCTATAGAGCTACCAATAATATTCACCTTGGAAGGATTTATAGAATTTTCATGTTATGCTGTTGTGATGCACTGCTTCCTATTCTGGCTACTTGTGATTCATTTTTCTCCACTCCCTCAGAGCACTAAGTAACATTAAAATCGGCTTCTTATGAGTTCTTCTTTCAATTATAAAAAGTGGATAGTCCTTGTGTTGTCATGGTTTTTACACAAGGACAGATTCATGGCAAGTAAATAGAACATGTAAACTTAAGTTAATTTCTAAATGGGTATATTCTATGGGTCTCTTTGTTTAGCATTTGCACTGAGTTATAGTTCTTCATTACTGAGGGATAAAGGCATCCTTTCTGAGCTTGTGCTGTGTGTTCTCAGATATTTCTCTATTCTTCTTCTGCTTTCTTTGTTCCTTCCATTGCTTTTTGCAGGTATTTAAACCCATGGTTCAAAAGAGAATATAATGTAGCTAAGTGGGTAGAAGATGTGAATAAAAACACTGAAGGACCCTACTTTAGGTATTTTGTGAATTCATTCTCTCTACTCTTTAAGAACGGCTTAAGCATACACCAGATATTATGTGGCCCTTCTCTTGTATGTTCCAATACAAGTAATTTCTTTTAAGGTGTCAAGGGCTCTTTGTTCATTGCTGCCTTATGGGGGCTTCATTGTGCAATTACAATTCTTTTCTGTATGCCTTAATGAAACCTTTTGAAAATGATGCTCACGGTGCTTGCATTCTCATCACCATCTTTAGCTTTCAGCAGCTTCCTCTTTATTTAATGCCAAATAATATTTTAAGGGCATGATCAGAATCTTCAACTAATCAAGTAGCATTGGTAGTTTAAAATGAGTGCATTGGAGCCAATAACTTTACTTACAATGTGCTTACGGTGCAATTATATGCCCTTACATTTAGGGGTCAATTCCACTTGCAATAAACAAACCCAATGTTTGAGAAGACATATTTAGAACATTATCTTGTAGAAAAGAAAAATGTTCTAAATTGCAACTGTGAGCAGAATTTTATCTTAATGCTTAAATTGAAATACAGGTAGTCCTTTCTTAACAACCATTTGTTCTAAACAACTTCAAATTACAACTAGCACTGAACAAATGGTATTTAACACTTGAAAATTATGCCTACTGTAGTGGTCTCACAGTAATGTGATCAAAATTTGGCCACTTGGCTGTCCACTTAACAACTGTAGAGTGCACCAACTCCCTCCATCCACTTAACACCCCCCCCCATCTCTACCCTTTAGGCTGTTCTGCACAGTGGTACCCCTTGGTACCACTGTGCAGAACACAGAGCCAAGGTAGCACAGTGGTTAAATGCAGCACTGCAGGCTACTTCAGCTGACTGCAGTTCTGCAGTTCAGCTGTTCAAATCTCACCGGCTCAAGGTTGACTCAGCCTTNAGAAACAAATATTTATTTAAGAAATGAATACAATTTAAAATATGACACTGAGCAAAAACTAACTTTGTGATCACTATAATCAATAAGATTGCAAAAATATAGGGGCAAAAAACTCAATCAAGCTGTTATTATGAAAATTGCACCATTTCAACCTGTTTTCAGTCCAATAAAGTTCTAAACATCATTTCTGGTTTAGAATTAAACTGAGCATCCCTCAGGAAACTACCTCAAATGCAATTGGCTTTATTACTATTTATTGTATAATTTAAAATGCTATATCACCTCTTTCTGAAATAACATAATTTAACTGTTCTTTGACTGCATGGAAAACTCAAATACATTTCATCACAATTTCTGTAGTGTATGTTAATATTCTTTTTTTTTAAAAAAATCCTCAGTGTTCAAATGAATGTTATGAACAGAAGTCTGGAATATATTTTATTTATATAGCTGAATTTTTATGAATTTTTAGAAACAAAATGGTTCTGTTGCTAAGGAGATAGGAAGAGTAGTCTTTGTTCCATTTTTTTTTTAAAGGCACAAGTGATTTCTTTGTTTTTGAGGACAGGAAGCATAGAAAGCTCTCTTGTCATAGCCAGGTACTTATAGATAACATCCATACAAGATTAAGGAATAGCAAAACTTTTTAAACAGTTTGTATCAATTATTCAGGAAACTGGAGGGAAACAAAGATGTTTGCAGTCATTAAATGGGATAGAAGCAGGAAAATACATGCTTCAGCAGGATTCATTACTCCATTTCTAGGGAAATCTAATTTAATTTCATAAAATTATTTCCTTTAAATATAAAGAAGCTTATCCCATTTCATTGGTGCATATTACATATGAACATTTTAGAAACTGCAAGATTAAACAATTATGTATTTTAGAAATACATTTTTGTACTATAGAATATATGCCTATTTTCCTCTATCACCTGTCTTATTTGTGTGATTGTGAGATAAAATAATTTAACCGCTTGCTAACTCTTTTTTCTTGACTGGAGAGAGAGATAGTGAGTAAGTCAATGTATTTTCAGCCTATGCATGTATTCTGTTGTTACTGACTTCAAAATGTTTATTATGCTTTAGACAAATTCCTCAGGGAGATTATGTTAAAAAGCCTGGTGAGGCCGACTCCTTTTATAGCGACATGCCACCTGGAGTCAGCACAAACTCTGCATCTAGTTCTAAGAAGAGGTCTGCTTTTCTGTCGCATTTTCAGATTTCTACCTGTTCCATCACACATTATTCCATTAGTCAGAACCTTTCATTGTTTTGCAGCAGGTTTGATTCCTTCTTTCCTTCCTTCCTTTTGTGGGCTCTGTTGAAATTCCTCCATCTCTGATTACTGACTGTTGCACCACAAATATTGATGAAACTAGGCTTTAATGAAATTTTAGGCTGTGAGATGATTTCTGAGGCCACTTCAAAATAAAACAAAACAAAAGCCAGGGGAATACTTGGCCTAACTGGTCCCATCCCCCCCCCCCCCAAAAAAGCTGTGAAATGTATATCTTTCAGGCTGAAGTTGTCTTCCACTGATAACACAGACACATCTAACACTAATTGGAGTGTCTAATATTAATGCCATTTTCTGCTTGGAAGTAGCTTATTTCCAGTTGCTAATGTGTTCAGTGGTAATTATCCTATTTTCATTCTTGTAGTCAAACAATACTTGGGTGGAACTTGGCATGGGATACTGTAATATTTGCATCCTGCACTGTAGATCCTCAATGAGTAAGTGGATTTTCCTGGAAACTTTCCAATTCTGTGATACCATGAAAACATTAAAGCCAACGAAACACCAAAATTAGCTTTATTTTATAGCTTGCTCAAGTAACCAAAGATGGAGGATTTTTTTTTACTCATACTTTTAACAATTGTAATAGATGAACAAAATGTAAGAATATACATGTTATATGTTATCACCACTTTGCTGTTTTTTGTTCTTATCTTACCTGGCATTTCCAGTTTACATTTCACATCTTTACCAATCATGTATGTTTAGAGCAAATCATTTGGTTGGCTTATAAGATATAACCACAATAATGTTGCATGAAGTAGAATGCTACTTATAATCAGCTGTCCTGTAAAAAGATTGTTCTGTTACAGATCAGGTCACAGAGATATTCATAAATCTTTGATTCTGCTAAAATAAATTTAATATTCAGTTGATTATCTTCGCTTGCAATATTTAAGCAGTGAATTATCAAAAAAATGCCTTGACTTCTTCTGTGAAAGGAAGACTAAAGGCAGCAAATTCAAATTTTATTCTAGATCCAGAGTGTTATGCTTAACTTAATTGGACTAGATATCGCACCATTTACTGAAAAAGATATATTCATGATTTCAAATTATAAATTTATCTCTATTTAATAATAATAAGCAGATAAAGTCATTTTGATATCTTCCTTCATTATTTTAGTAGAAAGAATAATCAAAGTGTTTTAATGCTTTGTAAGTGACCAACCACCATTAGAGTAGCATAATGATAAACAATTAATTACAGTGCAGGAATGTAACTTTATTTAAAAAAGAAAAAATATAACTGATTCAGATTATTATTTTGGTGGTTATTCAAATGGGAAACTGAAATGGAGGAAGAAAGATTTTGCTATTTGAAAATGTTATAATAGTGTTAAATTTGGATTTTGGATATTAGTCTGAAGTACCTGGAGAACAGATGGGTGGAAAGCGGTACTAAAAAACACATTATAGTGCTAAAAAGTCATGTAATTAAGATGTTTTCCTTTATTAAACTTCAGTAAGATCTTTCTGATGGATAACTATTTGAAAAAGAACCCTAAATCATTCCTGAATTGTTTGACAAAATTGTCTGATGTTAAATATTTTCTGAGAACCATATTTGAACAATGTGGAGTATTCCATTCTTGAATGTCTCCAGAAAATAAATTAAGAAATCTTTGGAATATCTGTTTCCTAAGATTTTTTAACAACTTTTGCAGGGTTCCAACATTATGTTCTTCCTGTGAATTGTTGACTGACTTTTAAAATGGGCATTGCTTAAATATTACATATTTATTATGTTTCTTCTACTACGTATTTCCAGTAATTCCTTCAGTTATTAGTTCTTAAGAACATTATAGTTTTATTAAAGTCTGCATCTTCTGAAACCTACAATAGCTGACCTTTTACTTCGTAATCAGAATATTAATACTTTTCAAGAGTTTTATAACAAGATTTAGTTTTAGCCTTCTCTAGTTATTCCTGAATTTCCACCTGCTGGTTGTGCTGCTAGAAATTCTAGGAACGGTAGTTGAGATACATCTGGGGACCATCTGGCTAAAGAAGGCTGGCTTGATTGTTGTTTCTGATAGCAACACTTGATATGCGGTCCTCCTATAACTTACATTTTGGCATGTGGGCAACCAGTGTTTATAGAATAGCAAAACTCATATGTAATCCTCAAAACATATATGCAACAATCCATTTTGGCTTTCTAATAAGAATTATCTGACTATTGCCTATAGGTTTCTATGTAACACAAAATGAAGAAGCAGAGTATCTAAAAAAGGATGGATGCCTCCAGTTTACTTTGCTCTCTGAGTCTTCTTACTGCTTACTTTGGCTTTCATCATATTATTCTGAACAAATATTATCCAGAAGATTTCCTATCCTAATTTTATATTCTGCAGAGTAAACAAAGCTTAAAATAGCGTTTGATGCCCTGATGCCTCCTAGATTTGTTGGGTGTGTTTGAGATGAAATAAAAACTACAGGACATGTGAAATTTAACCTATATTGCTAATTAATTTTGATACACGTTTGAGGATGTTCAGGAAGGCTTTAAGTTTCCTCAGCCTAATATGTAAGTTAATAATGGGACTATTGAAATACCAACATGCCAAAACCAACTGTTGCGTATGGATCTTGCTCTTTATCTTAGGTCAAACGGCTTATCTCATTCATGGAGTGAAAGAATCCAAGATGCAAAGAATCTTTCAGACATCTGTCAAAATGGGAGACCAAGGAGTAATTCATGGCAAGGTGGGAAACACTCTTGCTTAGCATGACAGATTTCAATGAGTCATGATTACCTAAAGAAGTTAGATTGTTTCTTAGATGTTTAGAGTGTAACAGAATTTTAAAAAATTGATGTTCTGCCTCCCGTTTTTCTCTTTTATCAAGGAGTTTAGATTGTAAACACAACCTGAGACAAAGTATAGTCTGATTTAAATGGGTGTGCCCTGAACCTAAATACATTGTATAGAGGTGAAACTCAAAAAATTAGAATATTGTGCAAAAGTTCATTTATTTCAGTAGTACAACTTAAAAGGTGAAATAATATATAAGGTAGACTCCTTGATAAA